CTTCTTCTTCTTCTTCTTCTTCTTCTTCTTCTTCTTCTTCTTCTTCTTCTTCTGAACCCTGTGTACAAGCATTTTAAATCTTTTCCTCCCCTTTTATTGTATAAATAACTACAATAAGTGGGTTCATTAACGGGTGCTTTGGTTGGTGTAGTTTGCTCCATCTAACCTATCAAACATCTATCGTCCCGACCTCTCCTGCTTCTTTTCTGTGTTTGTTACTCTCTTGTAACACCTCTAACCCTCGGCTCTTATATTATGATCTTATTTTGTTGCAAGTGCCGTAAAACTCTTTTGAAAAAAGAGTAATTAAAAAAATCTATGATAATGTTATCCCTCGTATGAAATTCTCACCATCTTGTCTGTTTTGGCTGTTCCGTGTACAAGCATTTTTTTTTTCCAAATTATTATAATAATGTATGAAATTTCCACAATCCTGTATGTTTGGCTGTTCCGTGTACAAGCATTTTTTTTTCTCCAAATAATTATAATAATGTATGAAATTTTCACAATCCTGTATGTTCGACTGTTCTATTCAGGGAGAAAGAGAGGTATACGTTCTCCTGTCTCAGGAGTGTGACGAGGAACCCCTGGCGGTGCTAGATGAGACGGCAATGGCCCTGGAGCTCCCGCTCCACCGCGTCTGTGGACGACTCTTCTCCCTCACACTGCCCAGTGAGTAGCATATATTATACATGTGGTCGCTTTTAAGCACAAGGGGGCTATCCCGAAAAACGCTGTTTTGAGAAAATCTAAAGTAATGGTTTTGCCCCTTGTTCAGTTTCTTTAATAAAAGAGAAGGAAAGTTTTCTCTATTACCAAACAAGTATACACACCAATGAAACTAAACTTCTCCTATAGGTAGGGCAATGCCCACTTTTGGTGAAGGTCAAGATTTCTGGAAACCCCCGAAGTCTGGGTTAGCCCGCGTGTCCTTAAAAGTGACCATGTATAAGTGTCACGACGTGGTGGAATCAGGCGCGCGTCAATTTTTGGGCATGTAGAATTATTGGTTTTATCTTAAAGCTTGTTCATTTGCCTATCTTTCGAAGAGTCTATCTTGATTAGATGTCGAGATGTTTGCCATTGAAAGAGGTAGGGGTCGCCTGGTTTCAGAGGTAAAATTAGCGAGGAAATTGTCCCCAAAGTTTGGTGATTTTCAAAGCTAGGAAATCGTTGGAAACTGAAAATTTACATGTTTTTGTGCATTTAGTTAACGTTTTCCGGTAAAATCCAGAAAAGGTGTTGAGCTAAAAAAAATAATTTTTTTTTAAGTAGACAAAAATTGTCAAACCAACAGAAAAATGTCAATATTTTCGATTTCATTATTTTAACGAGCGCATGATTTCACCACGTTGCCTCACAATTATTAATAATACGAGTTAGATCCTGCTAACCATTGTTGCTATCATGTTTTATTCAAATCCATTTTTATGTCTATGCAATACGAGTACCGGAAACAGAGTATTTTACAATACATCTTGGAGCCTCAGACATGACATGACAAGAGAGAGG